TTGCTAACAATGGTGCTTACCTTTCACCATTGAGGTTTAAAACCTCTGAGTTTCAGTTCTGTTCCTGCACTTGTGCTGGACACTGTCCTTGTCCTCAGATTAACATCACAGTGTTAATTCTCCTGCCTAATTCTCCCAAACACTGGGATTGGGTCCAGGGTGTCCACACCTAATTCTAAAGCTTCTGAAAACAAAATAACTACATCCATTTCACAGATTGTTCCTAGCTAGGCCCTGTGAATATTAGAGAGGCTGGGACGGTTTTTTCGGGGAAACTTTCTTTTCTTTGAGGTCTTTATGGAGAGATGGTTCACCCCCAGAGCATGAAGCTCCACTGTCTACAGAACACCCCCCCCCCACTGGAGTAGGTTTTAGGAAATGTGTGGCTGTGAAGGTTACAGGGCTGGCTCCCAAATCACACCACGAGATGAGCTCCATGTGGGAGGTTTATTAGGGGAAGGGAAAGGGAGTCGAGATGAGGCAGAAGAGAAAGAGAGAGGAGGGGCTCCAGTAGTTCTCTTATAAGGTGACCCAGGGCATGAGCAGATGGTTCCAAGTGATCAGCGGGTGGTCTTCTTGGTGGCTTCACAAATGCCTGATAACCAGTTTGTCAGGTCCCTTGGGGCTGGTCGTGGAGGTGCCTGCTTACTGATCCCAACATTCCTCCCTTTTTTGTTTAGTGAGGAGCCAGGAAGGGGTGATGGTGGGGGAAGGGCACAGGGACAACTTTTGCCCTTCAAGCTACTTCCTGATGATTAGGGGCATTGTCCTTTTACTAGTACAGCTGGTCTCCACCATCCGGGTCATACTCATCTGGCTTTGTGGGCAGAGGGTGATAATCCTGTAGCAGTAACTGATTAATGGTTTGGTTAGAATTTTTTTGCATTTGTTGTTGGAAGCATGTAGAGGAAGTTAATTAAGCAGGCTGCAAAAAGTAAAAGCAGAAAGACTAGCAAGAGAGGTGAGACAAGGGGCAGAATCCATTTCCATATGGGATTCTGAAAGAGCTAGAGGCCTCAAGCTCTTCCTTTTATTTTTGTAAATCTGTCTGGAGTTGTTGGATTTTGTCCTTTACTATACCCGACTGGTTGACATAAAAACAGCATTCCTCCTGGAGGAAGAGGCAAAGGCCACCTTCTTTAGCTGTGAGGAGATCCAATCCATCTCGGTCTTAAAGTACTACTGATGCCAGCGAGTCAATCTGTCCTTGGAGGGTTAGTATTGTCTGAGCCACTTTTTGAAGGTCCTGGATGAACTGGGAAGAAAGCTGATAATACAGAGTTAGTGAGGTGGCTAGTCCTGCTGTTCCGGTCCCTACAGTTGCCGTGATTCCTGCAGCAGCCAGCAGGGGTAGGATTTGAATTGCCCTCTTCTCTTGCTGGGCAGCTTTTGAGTCCATGACCGGGATTGGTAGGGGCTCTCTTTTGTTTATCACCCCCAGCTCAGGGAAGAGGAGTACCAGAGCACAAAATCCTGACCAACGAGCAGGCAGATGATGGTAGACCTGAGTGCCACAAAGAATAGAGGTATTATTAGCAGTAGGGCATTGGGGTTGAGATGAGATATCAAGGATTATAATTTTATTACAGTCTAAGGAACTTAGCATTCCTACAGAGTGTGTCTCAGATGCCTTGAAACAGCTTACCACGCCAAAGAGGGTGATATGAGAAAGGTAGGGGGTTGTGGCAACATCAGAGTCAGGACAGTTAGTAAATGGTGAAGTGAGGTTGCTTGACAGAGTCACTGCAGAAGATGTCAGCTGTACCTCTGACTTGGTCCCCTGTGGTACACACAGCCAGCAAGCTTTAAAATGGCCCGGTTTGGTTGTTACACCCAGTTGTCGAGCCCCCAAAAGACCTACAGGAGGGTCTTTTTATTACAAGCTTGAGCCAGGTGGCTGCCCTTTAAAAGACATACAGGCAAGCGACCCCGGCTCCAGGAGATCAAGGTTTTCAAAGGAACAAAAATGCCAGTGGGGTAGTACAAGCCTTGGCATTACAGGACTGGGTAAGAGGAACAAACCGCAAGCGGGTGGTCTCTGGGAAAGTTGACCTTTAAAATGATTGGTCTGATTTAGGTGCCAAGACTGCACAGTCAGGCCTAGCTACCTGGGAGACATCTGACCTCTAGTTCTTAGGGGCCATGTGACTCCAGTCACACCCTGAGGTTTATCTGGGTGGGGACTGCTGCTGGCCCATTACCTGAAAGGAATGTGGTCTTGTGATTCTGCCACAGCCCCATTTCAACCCGCTCCCAACAGCCTCCCATAGAAAAGTTTGTCGACCCTATTTGGAGAGATTGTTTATTATCAATAATGGTTTCTTGAACCTAAAATCTCCATACGTAGGTATTACATTTAACAGAAATAGGCAAGAGGGAGAGGAGGAAAAATACATATCCAATCCAGTAGGGTCGAACACCACTCCTGTGGTGAGACCTCATTCTTCTGGAACTAGAGACAGGGTAGTTGACCTTGGCATCTTTTGGAGCTTGAGAAAGCAAGGTCCGGGTGGGGTCCTGTAGTTGAATGACTACAGGGGAATGGTGCCTAGCCACAGAGGGGTTTTGGATATCCCAGACTTGGGGGTCCACTTAAGAGGCTGGTAAGGGAAACGACTTGTTAGAACTGGTAGGTAAGGTGGCTAGGAGGAGAGAGGACGCTGGTGAGCTTGGGGTCAAGCAGATAGGTGGAGTAAAGGAAATAGAGGCTCCTACTTGGCTAAAAAGTCTCTTCCCCTTAGGGGAACTGGACAGGCTGGCATTACTAAAAAGGAATGAGTCAAGGGAACTCCCCTAAAAATACAATTAAGTGGTAGCATCCAGCAAGGCTGGCAAGGCTGTCCCCCTACCCCGATAATAGAGGAACTACAAGGAGAGGTTGTTCCCCAGTACTCCGTTAGGACTGAGTAAGTGGCTCCAGTGTCCACAAGGAAGGAGATGGCCCACCCTGATACCATGATAATTACCCGTGGCTCCCTGTTAGTGATGACAGTGGTTTGGTCAAGGGAACCCGGGCACCTTCAGTCTTGGTAGCCAGGCCTAAGATATAGGCCAGAGGGTGATCTGGGAGTAATGCCCCATATCATGGGAGAAACGGTGGCAATCAGCACCCCAATGTCCCTCTTGGTGGCATTTTGGACATGGCCCCCCTGGCTTTCAGGGGTTAGGGCAAGCCCTGGCCCTGTGATCCTTTTGACCACATTTGGGGCAGGGGAGTGGTGGTTTCCATGTGGGACAACTCCAGGCCCAATGACTCGTTTGACCACATGTGAAACAGGGACCCGTGGTCCTCGTGCCTTAGAAGGCAAGAGAGCCTGGGTAGTGGCCGAGGCCGGTCGAATGACCTGGGCCAGCATTTGGTATTTTTGTTTGTGGGCTTTTTCATCTCTCCCATGGAATACCCTAAAGGCCAGTGCTAAGACTTCTGCCTGCAGAGTCAGAGGTCCCTTCTCCAAGGATTTAAGTTTAGCCCTGATGTCGGGGTAACTTTGGGAGAAGAAATAGGTCATCAGGAGTTGTCCACCCTCTGTACTTTCAGGGTCTAGATTAGTGTGTTGTAAGTGAGCCTTTGTAAGGTGCTCTAGGAATTGAGACGGGGTTTTCATTTTTGTCCTGAATGACCTCCTGGAGCTTTTCATAATTAACTAACTGGCTTAAGGGCAGCCTTGTGGAGACCAGCCAGAAGGCAGGTTGCAAATTGATCTCTGGCTAAAATGCCACTGTGTAATTCCACTGTGGATCCTGGTCGGGGACCGCTTCAGCCCCAAGAGGGTGTGAAGTATCTGTTTGGTGAACCTCATCTGCATGAATTCTAGCCTATTCCCAAACTCTGCCTGCATTCCTCAGGTAATGTTATTGGCAAGGATCATGTAAATATCATGGAAGGTGAGACTATAAGATTGAGTGAGATATTGAAAATCTTTAATGAAGGTAGAAGGATTAGAGGTATAGGATCCTAATCTCTTTTCTACTTGAGAAAGTTCAGTTAATGAGAAGGAAAGGTGGACCCAAATTAAGCCGTCTATACCTGCTACTTCCCGAAAGGGAAGGATAGAGGCTGGTTTATCCTGAGTAGAGGGATCAGACTTTGCTATAGAAAGTGATCAGGTTGTGGGTGGGCTGATAGTTGGTGGGGGTGAAAGTGAGGCGACTAGGAGAGTCTACTGCTGGAGAAGGGAGCGAGGGTTTTGGAGAAACCAAAGGAGAAGAGGAAGGAGTAGAAGGGGAGGGAGAAGAGACCGTGTGTGACTGGGAAAGCTCTCCCAGGGGAAACTGAGGCCCTAATAGAGATGGAGGTCCAGCAATAGGGATCAACCGTGGCCAATGAAGACCTTGGTTGGGGGGGCCCTGCTTCAAAGAGCAGTGAGAAGGTGCCAGACTCTCAATGGTCACTCTTCCCTTGGCCAGAGAAATGTTTATGCTGACCAACAGGGAAACGCACCAGCTGGTGGTGGATGCCTTGGTAGCGATCTGATAGCTGGAAAGTGGAGATCTCGGGTGGATTTGGAGAAAAACAGGTCTCTAGCAGCCCTGGTGGAGTGCTGGCACTCCTCACCCGGTGTGCCCATTGGAGGGAACCTATCCTGGCAAAGATACACTAATGTTAGGAAACATTCCAGGTGATCATCGGGTGGTCTTCTTGGTGGCTTCACAAATGCCTGATAACCGGTTTGTCAGGTCCCTTGGGGCTGGCCGTAGAGATGCCTGCTTACTGATCCCAACAGTAGAATTCAGGGCAGCAGGGCTGGGGTGGGAAGAATAATGAGAAGGCACACTTCACATGGATGATTGACAGTCCACCATGCTGCCTTGAGGGAGCTGTGACTGTGAGACCAGCACATGGAAAGTTAAATGGGAAAATCAGGCTTTTTCTGTGTGTACAGTGACCCTAACCCTGAGTTGCTTTCTGTGAAGGGAGGAGGAAAGGCCTTCCTAAGCTTTGGTCTGAAAGGATAACTTTCTGGGTGCTTCCACAGGATCCCTCTACCTGATCCTTCAGGATGAACTGCCAGGCCATGCCCACACTGAAGCAGCTGGCACTGAAGGGGCTGCTGAGTGATGAAGACATGGTCATCTCTGCTCTGGAGGACCTGCCCACGATGCTCTTCCCACCTGTGTTTAAGGAGGCCTTCATTAATGATCAAACAAAGATAGTGAAGGCCATGGTAGTAAATTGGCCATTCCCCTGCCTCCCTCTTGGGGCCCTGATAGATTACTTCTATTGGGATAACTTCCAGGCTGTGCTGGATGGAATAGATTGGCTGAGTAGCCAGAGTGTTCGACCTAGGTGAGTGAGTCTGAGTCAGTGTGGAGAGCAAGGTCGTGGGTGAAATTCAAAAGAGAATGAAATGGAGGCGGATTAAAATTCCATTCCCAACCACCTGAATCTCCTTTCTGTTTGATCTTTAGGAGGTGCAGACTGCAAGTGCTCAATTTGCAGGATGCCCACCATGACTTCTGGGGAGTACAGGTGGGAACACAGGCTTGTTCCTGCTCTTCAGACACCGACCCAGGAGAGACAACTTCCACAACAGCCTGGAAGCAGCAATTGAAGGTGGTAGGTGAATGTAGCCTCCAACCCAGCTTTCTCAATGAAGTCAGTGATTACTTCCTGTGGTGGCTCAGAAAGAGAAGAGATATGGAACACAGTCGTGCATCCTCACTTAAGTTCTTTGGGGAAGCACAGGTGTTCACAACGGCCAGAAGGGTTGAATTAACCTGGAACTCTCTGAACCTGTTGTAACGCGCTTGGAATGGGTGGTGGAGCTCGAATCTGAAAGAGCAGTCTGTGTTCTTATCCCCTTAGGCATCTTTCAGCACACAAAAATAATCCTGATAGCAGGGCCTCATCATGCCCTATGGCTGCTTGGAATTCAGTATGTATAGCACACTGGCCCTGAGCACATAGATTGGCCAGCTTTTGCCTCTGGAGCATTGAAATTAAAGGATTGCACAGCCATGCTTGACTAATCTGCCTGACTTTATCTGGAAAGTATCTCTAGATACAGACTCCCCTAGCAGCACTTGATGTATGGCCTCTGACATAGCTCCCTGTTAGCTCTCCCCTCCCTGTGTCTATGTGTTAATTAACCACTGATTCTGCTATTATGATAGGAGCATGCTGTATCATGCAAATCAAAGTCCAAACAATTATGTACACCTATTCTTGGAACCCTTCACTCATTCCCCTAGGGGTATAAAGTCATTGTTCTGTGGAATTAAAGTTGAACTAGCCATCAGCTGTTCCAGTAGTGTATGATTCCTGTAAGTTTCTCAAATGCTTGTGCCCCTCCTGATTTCCTGGGCTGTCCAGCTGCAGCCCCCAGGCAGGAGGAGAACCACAATTGATGACCTTGAACATCTGCTCATCCTGACTCCATCTCCCATGCTGGAGTGCTCAGATGCACTGCTGGTGGCGTGTTGAGGGGCTGGAGATGGAGGCCAGGGTCTTCAGCACACTAGATGGGCTTTCACCACCGGCCCTACATCACTTGTATGTTTTCCTGTTTTATTTTCAGAGATATAGTTTTCATTTGTAATTGGGACCTACCTGCAATTCACTATATAATCCAGGCTGGTGTTGTTAAAATCATTTCACTCCCGCACCCAGAGTCAGCTTGTGGGGTATCCACCAGAGAAGACTGCTTGCATATGGGTTTAAGCCAATAAAAAGTTTTGTTAGCCAGCTGGCAACTACACTGGTTGTTCAGGATCCCAGTGTCCTGCTTTGTGACAGGAGCTGGAAATGGGGGGACTGGAGGCCCTCACTATCACTGGCTTAGTCCACAGTTTATACACTGGGCTCTGGGCTGCCCACCTGTTTTCCTTGCTGCCTGGCTCTCTGGATCCCACTGCCTCCTCCTTTTCTGCTAGCTTCTGCAAATAAGCCCATCTGTTTTACAAACTGCTAGGTGTCCAGAATTTGTGTGGAGTCTGTGGAGATCTCTCAGTGGTGAAACACTTGCAGAGCTCACTTGAAGCCCGGGCTTTTCTCCCAAGCATACGGTGACACACCAATAATAAAACCATTCTCAAAAAACTTAAACAAAATTTATCTTCCTAAACCGGATCTCCTGTATTTAGGCCCGATTCCAAACCTGCTATAGAAAGGAACTTTGAACTCCTGACCCTACTGCCTCTAACACCCTGTCTGCAGGAGTGATGGAAAGGTGTGTGAGCTGGGCCTGAACTCAGGAATAAACTATCTTCATGAATGGAAGCTATGACAGAGGAAGGCAGACCTCTGAGTTTGAGGCTAGCCTGCTCTACAAAGCCAGTCCAGGACAACACAGACAAAGAAAGACTCCAGCTATTTCCACCATCATCATCCCAGGACATTGTCCTCCATGTTGCTTGCTCTCTCCACAGCCTAGGATGCCACATTTCCCACCTTCCAGGCTTCCAGACTTGTACCACCTAACTCCTGGGGTCTGAATGTCAAGATGCTCTCTTCTATTGACTCCGGCTCCCATTATGTTATCTTGTTAGATGAGATAAAGTTTTTCCTGATTCAGTCTGTGGATATCCTCCTTCAGTCAGTTCATCCTGAGAGTATGAGCTTGTTCCACTACCCTGCTCAGCTCCATGTTCACATTCACATTCATGTATTTATGTTTGGGGAGGTGTCATGGAGGATACATGTTGATATACGACGACAAACCAGTGGAGCCACACTTTTCTTCAAACATGTGGATTCCCATCACTGAATTTAGGTAACCAGGCTTAATGCAAATACTGTTGCAAATGTGCCATCTCATTAGCTGCCCAGCACCGTTGTTGAAAGAAAACAATGTTTAATTATGAGACAGTCTCACTCTAGCCCTGGCAGGTCTACAGTTGTATAGTTCTTACTGGCCTCACTCTCACAGAGCTCTACCTGTTCCATCCTCCTGATGGCTGGAATTAAAGGTGTGACCACCGCACCCTCCTAAGTTCGAAGGCTCCACCTTTTCCAGGCAGCCTGCTGCTGCTCCGGTCCTTTCTGACACACACTCTACCTTTTATTATTTTTGATAACAGAGGCCACAAGACACAGTGATTTGGGGATTCGGGGTGCAGGAATGCAGTTGATTCCTGTCTCCATTTGACATGAAAGGAAACCAGTAGGGTGGGCTGCTGGCACACTCCTGGAATCCCAGCATTAAGGCAACAGGGAAGAATTTCCTCAGTCCCAGGATAGTCTGGACACTTGAGGTGACCTTGTCCTTAAACAAAATCAAAGGAAATGATGAGTTAAATGCAACTCAGGGGTAGAGCATTTCTCCAGCAAGGGCAAGGACCTGAATCAAAACGTAGTACCAAACAGCCTCATCTCCAAAAACATGGATTATCCCAATCCATGTCATCCTTGCTTGTCAGTCTTGTTTTTGAAATCTCCCAAATGGGACTGAGCATGTAGATTAGGCTGCATCAGAACCTCCTGCATCTGCCTCCAAAGTGCTGGAATTCAAGGCTGCTGCCAACAAGCCTGGCATCCACAAAACATTTGAAAAGAGAAGTGGGATGAGCAGTCCGGTGGTATCAGATTGGCTGCTGTACAATTCTAGGAGCTTGTGAGTTTGAGATGAGCCTGGTCCACAGAGTCACCTCTGGGCTTCATAGTCCCTGTCTCAACAAGAAATGTTACCAGAAAGACAGGATCCTCCCTTCCACACACACTATATTCTTCAAAGTATTATTACAGAGCAAGTCTCCCCATCCCAGGCTTCAAAGCTTTGAAGTAAACAGCAATGACCTCCATTTTGTAAAGTCTTTTCAGTCTTTTCCAGGCATGTTCACTCTGTTGAAGGTAGAATGTGGGTAGGGTGGACATATCACATTTTCATTGTTCTTAAAAGGTGGTTAGTATACTTTTGCTGTGAAAGAGTGAGACTCACATTTCTGCTTCCTGGACTTCACCTTCCAAGTAGGTATGAGAATCAGAATAGCAAAGGTTGGAACTGGGTGGAACAATGGTGAGTATGAATGACTGGAAAAATTCCACATGCTGTCAGTGTAGGCAGTGTTGCTTTTGAGACTACCAAATAGATTGTGTCCTGGGGTAAGTTCAAGTGTCCACCATCACCTGGATGGTGACGGGTGCTTCCTGCAAAGAGTTGAGAGCATTGCTCAGAGACTCTGAAGAGATATTCTGTCCTAAATGCTTCCCAGGATCATCATGTTGAACACCTATCAGGATGAGCTTCCAGACCCTACTTATGCTTCAAGAGCGGGTCATACAGAGGATGCTGAAACACAAAGCCTTGGCCTTCTCTGCTCTGGGGGACCTGCCCATGGAGACCTTCACTGAGAGATAAAGCTTGTGACAGTTCTGGTGGCAGCCTAGCCCTTCTCCTGCTTCCATGTGGGGGTGCTGATAAGGACCCCCAACTTAGAGACCTTCCAGGTTTTATAGGATGAAGTAGACTTGTGGCTGACATTGAAGTTTCACCTCTGATAGGCAATAACTATGTAATACAGAATGTCCCAGTGAAGTGTAGGGAGGGACATCTGGGCACTGGGAGAATGGGGTCAAAGGTGGATCAGAGGCTCCAACTGGTCTCATCCTGGTGGGCTGCAGAGGCCTTGACAGATGTTGAGTCTTTGTAGCAAATGTCAGTTAAGTATGAGATAGAGCTTGGAGCAGATGTAGCAACAGTAGAATGAGCCTGTCCCTGCCTCTCTGCCAGCTGACAGAAATAGGAGCAGGGAGAACTGGAGAGTAACTGAATGAAGGGAAGCAGGACAGGTCTCCAGCTGCAGCTCAGGCAAAGGTCATTGACTGGCAGGTGTGAGGTGCTGTGTGGAGATCCAGCCCTGAAAACATGAGAGTTTTACCCATGAGAGTCTGAAGCTTTGAGAGGTCAACTTGTTGAGTGGACATAATGACTTCTGGAATGAATGGGCTGGAACAGAGAATGGAGGTCATCCAGGAGAGACTGTCAGAAGCAAATAGTGAAGCGCCTTCCTACATATGTATGGAGGTGGCACTTGAAGGTGACCTTTGCCTCATATTCCATTTGAATGAATCCCAAACCTAATTCTTGCAGTGGGCACAGGAAAGAAAAGGTTGTTCCATCTGTGCTGTTCAAAAACACACATGTGAGCATGGCCTGGCTACACTGTCAGAAAGGTCTCAGGAAATTTGCAGCCAGGTTGCATGGATGAATTGCAACTGAAGACAGAGTGGAGTCTATCTACTCCATCACATTTTGTTCCTGCTAGATGAAAAGATCTTCACCAACTCATCCTAGTATGCATCTACAAGAACACCCTCAAGCTTGCAAGCCCTTCCACAGACAAAGAGAAGAACATCACTGAGATCAATTCTCTGTTCTCCAGACTCAACTATCTCCTACACCGCTCCACGACGGAAGTCTGTTTTCTCACGGACCACAGGCAGCAGTTGTTCAGATAAGGAATGATGGAGAACTGTTTCTGCTCCCATGATGAACCTTTCTCTTCGACATTAGAGATTAGTGGCCACCTGAACTCAGCCAAGCACTGCTAACTGAATGAAAAAAGAGGGTGTGGAGGGTAGAAAAAGAAACAAAATGGAAGGACATGACTGCTGCTAGG